TGTGATTGACTTATTTCACTCAGCATAATGTCCTCCGGTTTCATCCATGTTATGAGATGCTTCACGGATTCATCATTGTTCCTTATCGTTGCATAGTACTCCATTGTGTGTATGTACCACAGTCTGTTTATGTATTCATCTGTTGATGGGCATCTTTTTACTTTTTTGGTGAAGTCTTGATGAGCATAAGTGTTTAATTTTCAGGAGCTTTCAGTTGTCTAGTTTCTTTTCTGGTGTTTGTGCATTGTTAGTTATGGTTTCTGTTGTATTTATGCCATGTATTAGGGCCCCTAGCTTTGTCCCTGTTTTTTCTTCAATGATATTTATCGTTCTAGGTTTTATATTTAGGTCTTTGATCCATTTTGAGTTAGTTTTTTGTGTATAGTGTGAAGTATGGGTCCTGTTTCATTTTTTAATGGATGGACGTCCAGTTTTGCCAGCACAATTTGTTAAAAAGACTATATTTTCCCCCACTTAATGGACTTTGGTCCTTTGTCAAAGATCAGCTGACCATGGGTGGATGGATTTACATCTGGGTTCTTGATGCTATTCCATTAGTCTCTGTCTGTCATTGTACTGGTACCAGGCTGTTTTTGACACCCGTGGCTGTATAGTAGGTTCTGAGATCAGGTAGTGTGACACCTCCTACTTTGTTCTTTTTCTTCACAAATGCTTTGCTTATCTGGGGCCTCTTACCTTTCCATATAAAGTTGGTGATTAGTTTTTCCATCTCGTTAAAGAATGATGTTGGTATTTGGATCAGGATTGCATTGTATTTGTAGACTGTTTTGGGTAGAATTGACATTTTCACAATGTTGAGTCTTCCTATCCATGAGCATGGTATATTTTCCTGTTTATGTAGGTCTTTTGGTTTCTTGCAGTAGTGTTTCGTAGTTTTCTTTGTATAGATCTTTTGTGTCCCTGGTTAGGTAGTGTGGATTTTTAAATGAAAAAGCACAGTTTATAAACCAGTTTGTACATCAGAATCGCATTTTCCATGTGAGGAGGGAGCATTTAAAATATATGTGTCATATATAAAAGTAGAAAAATAACGTATGCCAAAATGTTACAATGGTTACCTATATGTAGTGGGATTGTGGGAGATTTTTCTTCTTTTGCCTATCTAATTTTGGTACTTTCTCTGCAATGGGCATATACCTATATATATAAAGTTTAAGAAGTGATCTCAAATAAGCTAAAAACCTTTCGTGCAAAAATATATATATTCACTGATTTCTTTTTCTGGTTTTTAAATTTAATTGTTTGAATAGTTAACACATTCACATAATTCAAAAATCAGAAAGAATAAAAGTATACAGTAAAAAGTTACCCCCATCCTCCAGCCATCCACAGCCTCCCCCCTTTCTTATACACAGATGGTAATATGCTGTATACACTGTTCTATATTTTGTTATTTTTTCACTTAATGTAGCTTGGAGATGTCATTATATAAAGAGAATCTCCTTATTCTTTTTTACACTTGCCAGTATTCCAATGAATAGGTGTATCATAATTTATGATTTCTTTTATATGTGTGTTTATAGATGTATCTATGTGTGTGTGTATATCATGTCATGGATTAAATTATGTCCCCCAAAAAATACGTGTATCAATTTGCCTAGGCCATGATTCCCACTATTCCATGGTTTTCCTCCATTTTGTGCTTGTATTTTTATGTTAAAGAGGATTAGGGTGGGATTGTAACACCACCCTTACCCAGGTCACATCCCTGATCCAGTGTAAAGGGAGTTTCCCTGGGCTGTGGCCTGCACCACCTTTTGTCTCTCAAGAGATAAAAAGAAAAGGAAGCAAGCAGAGAGTTGGGGACCTCATACCACCAAGAAAGCAGTGCCAGGAGCAGAGCATGTCCTTTGGACCCGAGGTTCCTGAGCAGAGAAGCTCCTAGTCCAGGGGAAGACTGATGATGACGAGGACCTTCCTCCAGAGTTGACAGAAAGAGAAGGCCTTTCCTTGGAGCTGATGCCCTGAATTTGGACTTATAGCCTACTAGAATGTGAGAAAATAAATTTCTCTTTGTTGAAGCCATCCACTTGTGGTATTTCTGTTAATAATAGCAGCACTGGATAACTACAGCCTATCATATGACATGTATGTATGTTTAAATCTTTGATCTGTTTGAAATATAAGGCATGAGATATAAATCCAACTTAATATTTCTCTAGGTGGCTTCCCAGTTGCTCCAACACCAGCTATTGCATAATCCATTTTAGCTCTTGTTTGAGATACTATCTTTGTATTAGACAAAATGCTCATGTGTGTTTGGCTTATTTCTGGATTTTCTGCTCTGCTCCATTGTTCATTCTAGTTTTATCTCAGTAATACACTGTTTTCATTATTGAGGCTTTATGATATGTTTTAATAGCTGGTAGAATATTCACTGATTTGGTCAGATGGCAGATAAAAGCAGACAAGTAGGTCATTTATTAGTCACTTGAGCTGGGTATACTTTCTTTCTCTGTTACCATGTAGGTTTTGTAAATCACCGAATTTGAGGGTTGAAAAAGACAAAATATCACTTTCTTCAGGAACCTTCATTTTAATAGAGGAAGAAACCAAAATTAATAATTTTAATAATTTCATCATGTTACCTGTTTTATAAGGGTTAAAATCAATACTGGGCTTTGAATCTAGTATTTGCCTACCTCCATGGCCTCTTGTTATGTCTTAGGCCACTTCTCTGTTTAAAAGAGGTCTTGACCATGCATTGGAAGAGTCTAGTATAATTATTTTGATTACTTTTTGTAGAATGGTAGTCGAAGAAGAACACCTGGTGGAGTTTTTCTGAATCTCCTGAAAAACACTCCTAGTATCAGCGAGGAACAAATTAAGGTAAAGATGATAATGTCCTTGGCTTTTGAAATCTGTTGTAATTTGACTTCCACTCAGCCTCTCTAGCTTCACTTTCTGCTAATCCCTATCACCTGCTCTGCCTTAAATGGACTGATTTTGTCATTATCTCATTTCAAATAAACCTTGTGCCTCCTTCCTTTACTTGCAGTGGGGACTTATTTAATCTCTTGAACTCTGTGTCTTCATTTGTAAAATGAGCTTGATAATATTTGCTTATTTGTTTTGAAAAATGAGATAATGAATGCAAAGGGCCTACCATGTAATACACTCTTAATAAATGGTAATTCTTAATTGTTACTTTATTATAGGACATTTTCTACATTGAAAATCAAAAAGAATATGAAAATAAAAAAGCTGCTAGGAAGAGGAGAACACAAGTGTTGGGGAAAAAGATGAAACAAGCTATTAAAAGTCTGAATTTTCAAGAAGATGATGATACGTCACGAGAAACTTTTGCAAGTGACACAAATGAGGCCCTGGCCTCCCTTGATGAATCACAGGAAGGACATGGAGAAACAAAGTTGGATGCAGAGGAGGCCATTGAGGTTGATCATTCTCATGATTTAGACATCTTTTAATGATTTAGACATTTTGGACATTTGGAAGAATAAGCCTTTCTAAAATAACATTTGTAATAAGCCCTTCCTACAGAGAATGCTTTGTTGTACTCTGCATTGAGATGAGAGAATTGTTTTAAATAAAAATGAATACATGGGGAGATGAGTGTGACTGACTGATAGAAATACTTAAAAATTTTTCATATCTGACAAAACACTTAGAAGTATATAGCAGAGGATTTAATTTCTCAATCTCTTGCATGTGTTAATTATGCATATTGCTTGTTGATAATCAGTTTTTTTCAAGTCATGGCATGCCATTCAAAAGTTTGTTTTTCTGATTTATCTTTGCAATGAACAGTGTTTAATTTCAAAACATTCCATTAAAAGATCCTAATGGGACATGTAAGGAGCGGTGGTGCAATCGTTAAGCATTTGGCTGCTAACTGGTAGGTTGGTGGTTCAAACCCACCCAGTGGCTCTGAAGGAGAAAGACCTGGCGATCTGCTCCAGTAAAGATTACAGCCTAGAAAAGCATATGGGGCAGTTATACTCTGTCACATGAGGTCACCATGAGTTGGAAATTGAGTCACCTAACAACAATGATGAAACATAAATTGTTAAGCTATTTACAAGTGTATTCAAATTTGATTTTTCTGTATTCTAAACACTTATAGGCCATTTTAAAGTTAGAGACTAAAATTAAAATAAGTTTATACTGATGGCTTTTCTCACTTGTTTGATCAGGAGTAAATAAATGTTAGAAGCTTTTCAAAGAGGTATTGCTTCTTTAACTTTGTTTTTGACTTCTTGTTAATTAACTTGGTCATATACTAAATAACTGAATGTGATCCAAACCTGTGTATAACCATGGACATTTAAAAATCTTCCAGTTGGCAGTCTGCCTAGGACTGTTACCTTACGTTAAGGAAGTTAGATGTTAACAATTGTCATATCTGCATGAAGTTTCAAATTTTTCATTTTTATTAATGACGAAAATAAAGGTAGTTTACTTAAGATGTTCCAAGAGTTTGACTATAGTTTACACAACATATTAAGCAAAATGTATAGGAAACAAAAACTATTCTTTGCAGATAATGTACTTGAAGTCTTTCAGTAGTTCCTGAGATATATGGTCATTGAAGTTGGATTTAATTGGGAAAAGAAAGGGAAAATGACTTTTGGTTACTTTTTTGTTTATAAACAATGCAAAAATAAATTCAGATTTTTGGCAGTCCTTAATGAGCTTCAAGTGACTTTATTTTTTAATCTCAAGCATTCTTTCATAAAATTGCTACAGCCAAGGCAAGAAAATATTTTAAATAGGTAAATGGATTTGCATTTAACTGAATTTATAAGAGGTGATTTTTAAAGTATAGTACATCAGGAAAGATAATATTTGAAAATGTAATTGCCACATGTGGTTTTTGCTAGTAAAAGTTAAGGTTTTTAAAGGGCATTAATGCCTGAGGCTACTTTATCTGCATTGAATGAATCTTACAGACACACCCCTGTAGGATTTACCCTGATGAATCGTCTACCTCTCTGTCATAGTAACTCAAGTGCTCATTCTCACTCTTTCCTTATTAAAATAAGTTTTTATTATCTAAAATATTTTACAATGTAACACATCTTAGAGGTTGGATTGGTTTGAATTTAAGCAAATTCGATTTACGCCCTTCAAGTGTATGTTAAGTAATAGGTGGTGAAACACAAAGGACCCGTATCAACCATGTGCAGTATACAGAAAAGGAAAATTATAGCCAATGGCAAATACGGAATGTTAACATGAAGTGATTATTTGTAATAATTGCTTAGTCCAACATACTTTCTAGTACATTTGTGTCAAATTTGTAATACATCTGCAAGCATCCCCATTTTTTAATTGCTCATAAGAAAGATGATCTACTCAAAAAGAGGGAAAAAAAAAAACAACCCTACTGAAAATAACTGAGCTTGGCACTCTTTAACTGCTAATGTAACTGCCCAGGGTTGCTATGAAGTTAGGAAAACATTACATTAGAGACAGTAGTGTCATAATTAGATTAGTGAGTTAGCGAAGTTCTAGATGAGAATTCTGTCATTGCTGCAGTTATGGCTTCAGGAAAAGACACTTGTCCATCTTTACCTAAACTCACCAATAGCTGCTCTGATGAGAGTTCATCCAAGGCTCCTTATAAGTGAGAATTTAAGGGTTCTGGGTTTTTTCAGTCTGGGAGCTACACAGATGATAATTCTGTACTACCCTTTGGTGTCTATGTAGAAAGCCTTACATTCCAGAGGGAAGCAAGTAAGCAGGGAAAGCAAGTCTGACCTGAGTGTATAACATATAGTCAATTTAGGATACAAGTTGGTTACCAAATTTTTGTGACTGTGGCCAGAGATTCCTTTAGGCAACAGGCCTGAAGCAAAGCATGGTGCGCTGCCTCCCTTAAAAACAGGTTGAAATGAACACTGGGCAAATTGTAAAGGACAGCATGTCGTCGAGTTACAGGTACCCAGCCCTTGATGTTGATCTTGGTAATACTTGGGATTTAGTGGGTTGATTATCTGTTAGGGGAATCTCAAACGCTGGCACAGCTTTCTGTCCTGGAGCTGCAGCAGGGCCCAAACATCACCACACAAGCTGCCATTCCCTAGAATGATGCTAAAACGATTTTGTTCAACTCACAAGATATCCTTTCTTCTTCCCTTCCTCATCTTCAGGTATACTGATGTTCATTTGCCACGGTTTTCATTAAAGCAAGGGATGATTCCAAGATACTATGTTATGCCTTGGAAGGAAAGCATGAAATTCAGGGATGTGAATATGAAGGTATGTTTCCATAAATATTCATAGTAAAAAACCTATACTATTTAATTTGTCTGTAAATAGAGATGGAGCCCTGGTGTTGCAGTGTTAGATCTCGGCTGCTAACCAAAAAGCAGTTCAAATCCACCAGCTGCCCCTTGGAAACCCTATGGGACAGTTCTACTATGTCCTGTAGGGTCACTAGGAGTCAGAATCGACTCCACAGCAACAGGTTTGGGTTCTTTCTTGGTATGTTGTTAGGTGCCATCTAGTAAGTTCCAATCCATAGCCACCGTATGTACAACAGAACGAAACACTGCCCAGTCCTGTGCCATCCCCACAGTCGTTACGCTTGAGCCCACTGTTGCAGCCACTGTGTCAGTCCGTCTCATTGATGACCGTCCTCTTTTTTGCTGACCCTGTACTTTTACCAAGCATGATGCCCTTCTCCAGGGACTGATCCCTCTTAATAACAAGTCCCAAGTATGTGAGACGAAGTCTCTCCATTCTTGCTTCTAAGGAGCATTCTGACTGTACTTCTACCAAGACAGATTTGTTCGTTCTTTTGGCAGTCCATGCTATATTCAGTATTCTTCACCAACACCATAATTCAAAGACAACAATTCTTCGGTCTTGCTTATTCACTGTCCAGATTTTACATGCGTATGAGGCGATTGAAAACACCATGGCTTGGGTCTGGCACACCTTAGTCCTTACAGTGACATCTTTGCTTTTTAACACTTTAAATAGATCTTTTGCAACAGATTTGCGCAATGCAATGTGTCTTTTGATTTCTTGACTGCTGCTTCCATGGGTGTTGATTGTGGATCCAAGTAAAATAAAATCCTTAACAACTTCAATCTTTTCTCCGTTTATCATGATGTTGCTATAAATATACAAAAACTATTTGTATGTACTTTCATAAAGTTTCAAGCAAAAGTTAAATAGCATATCATATTCAGATAACCCAGTTACAAACTTAAAATAGATTTACTGAAGGTTTTCACAACTATAGGTCCACCTTTTTCTCTACATCATGCCAACTTGCAATGTATGTTGGTAAACAGCTCAGTCAGAAGCAGGTGCCATTAATATTAAAACTGCTGTACAGAGCATGCATTTTTAAAGTTGTACTGTCTGTAGAGTTAGAGAGCCATGGGAACAGTGTGGCTAGATTTACGGATAGGACTCGTTGCCCATTCAATGCCCTTATTTAGTCAGTAGTTTTAAAGCATCTTCCAAATTCAGATTTACCATTTTTGTGAAAAGGTAAATGTTTATTTAAAGGATAATAGAATATATAGAAATTCAGACTATGAGATTTCAAGTTATGATGCTTAGTAAGAAATGTGTTTGTATAACTGATGTGCAAATTTCAAATGGTTAAGCAGTTAATGATGAATAAGAATATACTTTGCCAAGACAAGGCTGATATTACAAAATTCATTTTATGGTATATAAAATGCACTACAAAAATATGGTTCAGTTATTTTCTTAACAAAATGCACACATGCAATGTAATAAATGAAGTTGCATTTGCTCTAAGATGATTATCTCATATGTATTTTTGTCTGATATTTTGAAAACAAAAATTGAAGAAATCAAGACTCAGGTATCAGACTTAAACACCAAATTTATATATGTTCATGTTAAGAGTTCCTACAATCTTAATATTGGGCTCTATTTATGTACTTTAGTGACTTTTTATCATTTTACAATGCCCTAAATAACTTTGGCATAATGATGATATTAGTATTGACTTTATCTTTTTCATTCATTAGAACTTCAGGGTGTAAACTTGGAGTTGAAATCAGAAAAGAAAAACTGGTTTGAAGGCATCAACGCATTTTTGTTCTTGACCTTATTCTTTAGAGCTGTATAATTTTTTAATAGCTGTTTTGCTTTCACAATTTACTTGACAGTGTTTCTAACAGCGTTTAAGATATAATTAGTGACTAGTGTATGGAACATTCTACCTTACAGAATTACCATGAGAATTAAATAAGAAAATCAAACGAAGTGAACACATTGAGTAAATATTAGCTTATGCTTTCCTTCTTTCCCTTTGCCCTCACCATTTTTCCTGCAGTAGGTGTTATAACCGTATGTGAAAGCACAGCATAAGGCTGTACCCGAGACCAGAAATAAATGTATACTTAGGTCAGTAACCTCAAATAGCTGTTATTTATCCAGCAGCAGCTGTAATAGCAACATCATATTTAATACTTAATAGTTTTAATACTTAATAGTTAACAAAAGCTTCTTTATTCACGTTTTATTCAGTCTTCAAGGAATCCTTTATTATTCTCATTTTATATTTGAGGAATCTGAGTCTCATGAGGGTAAATGACTTGTACAAGGTTCCATGATAAGTAGTAAAGCTAGAGTTCAACAGTCTGACTCCAAGTTTATCTTCCTGGGAATCGAGTAACACTGAAAAAGAGATGTTCTGTCTGCTAAGACCTTCCTTTTGAACAGGAACAGTTAGAAAAACTCTTGGGAACCTTACATTTTAACCTATCTAGAAAGCGACGTTTGATGTGATATACAGCAGAGTTTTTCTCTCTTAGCATGCAGAAGCGTGTGGGATCTACAGTGGCCCTTTAGAAGACTCTCTGTTTCTGAATCACAGTGAAAGGCTTTGCCATGGGGAAGATCGTAAGGTGGTCTTGAGGAGAGGCCCAGCAGAAATAAAAGTTGCAGATATGCCTTTGCATTCTCCTCTCTCCAGATACCAAAGCACTGTGATTTCCCATGGCTTTAGAAGACGACTGATCTGATGAAACAGAAATAAAGTAATAAAGTGTTTCAATGTGTGTGTGTATCTCTCTCCCTCTTTTTTCTCCTCTCCCATCCACCACCTCTCTTTCTGGTAAGTATTTAAGTTCGTCGTACATTTGTATTTCATCTACAGGTTGAATTTGTTAACAGTGTGTCTTAGTCTAGGTTCCCTAGAGGAGCAAAACCAGTGAAGCATATATAAATATATATAGAGAGAAATTTACTTCAAGGGAATGGCTCACACAATTATGGGTTTGGCAAGTCCCAAATCCGCAGGTCAGGTGGCAGGCTGGAGGCGTCTGCTGGCTCACAGGGTTGCAGGGGTTGGCAGATCCAACATCTGCAGGTGAGGACACAGGCCAGAGACTTCTGTAGGTGTGTGTCCCAAGAACCGGAAGTCAGGCAACAAGAAGAGTGCAGGGTGGAGCTCTTGCCAGAACATCCTTTTATATACTGGAGGCAGGCCATACCCCAGGAAACTCCCTGTCTTAGGCTGGGTACTCTAGAGAAGCAAAACCAGTGAAATGTATATATACAGAGAGAGAAAGAGATACCAAGGAAATGGCTCACATGGTTGTAGAAGCTGGAAAGTCCATGAGTCAGGTTGGAGGCTTCTCCTGACCCATGTAGTTGCAGGGGCTGTCAAATCCAAGATAGGCAGGTCAGACAGCAGGTCTCTGGCTCACAGGCATGCGGACACAGTTGAGAAAATGGTGTCCTGATGCAAGAACTGTATCCTGAGCATTCCTGAACATGAACTGTAACCTTCTAACCAAAAAAACCAAACAGCTTGCTGTTGAGTAGATTCCCACTCATAGCAACTTTATAGGGTAGAATAGAACTGCCTCATAGAGTGTCCAAGGAGTAGTTGGTGGATTTGAACAGCTGACTTTTTGGTTAGCAGCCAAGCTCTTAACCATTGTGCCACCAGAGCTCCAATGTTACTTCCATAATAAACTCCATAATCATGAGTATTGTCTGCGAATTCTGTGTGGCCATGGCAATGAATTATCAAACCCAGCAGAGAAAGAGTGCCTTGGGAGGGACGGTTGGTGTTAGAATTGGTAAAGATGGCTGACAGAGGAAGAACGTCTGACTTCTGCCTCAGGAATCAGCCTTGGGCTGTTGATCTTGGTTCTCCTTCCCCCTCGTTAAGGTGCAGGAGGTGAGACGCCACCACCAGGCCATGTTTACACATATCATCAAAAATACTTGAAATTGCAGCTTTAGAGGAGATGTAGTGCAAATCTGAGAGGTTCTTGGCATATCCTCACCAAAAAATAGATTATTGGATAATACATTTCTGAAAGTGTTAAACCATTTTAAATTATCTTGTATATATGTATGTATGTTATGAAGAACAGGAAGCACCAGTACAAGGGAGAGTTGCCTGGTGGACAACGGACGCCGTAACACTTTTGCTGATGGACTTTTCAGAAGGCTTCTTAAACCTCTCAGATAGACTTCCCTCATTAGACACAAATATTTGCATTTATTTAAAGTCTGTCCTTCGGGGAGGATTAATAGCCTTATGCTTTTTTTTTTTTTTTAATAAAAACAGCCTTATTGAGATATAATTCACCATACAATTCATCCATTTAAAGTCTACAATTCAGTGGGTTTTTTTAGTATATTCACAGCTTTGTGCAACCATCACAAATTTTAAAACATTTTTATACCTCAAAAAGAAACCTATACCCTTTAGCTATCACCCCCACCCCTCTACCACCTCCAACTTTAAGCAACCACTAAACTACTTTCTCAGTCTATAGATTTGCCTATTCTGCACATTTCTTATAAATGGAATCATATAATATGTTGTCTTTTGTGACTGGCTTCTTTCACTTAGCATAATGTTTTCAAGGTTCATCCATGTTGTAGCATGTATCAATACTTCATTCCTTTTTATGGCCAAATAATATTCCATTGTATGGATATATCACATTGTGTATCCGCTCATTAACATTTGAGTTGTTTTCACTTTTCAGATATTATAATACCGCTGTAAACATGCATGTGCAAGTGTTTGTGTGGATGTATATTTTCATTTCTCTTGGATATGTATCTAGGAATGGAATTGTTTTACTGCTTCGTTTCCCATCTGGATGCTTTTTCTTTTTTGCCTAATTGTCCGGATTAGACCTTCCAGTACAATATTGAATAGGAGTGGTGAGAGTGGGCATTTTTGCCTTTTTCCAGATCTTTGGAGGTACAGTTTCAGTCTTTCACCATTAAGTATGATGTAGCTTTGGGTTTTTCAGAGACCTTTATCAGGTTGAGGAAGTTCCCTTCTATTCCTAGTTTGTGAAATATTTGTATGATGAAGGGTGTTGAATTTTGTCACAGGATCTTTCTGTAACTATTGAGATCATCATGTGATTTTTGTTTTTTATTAATATAGCATATTACATTAATTGATTTTTTTATATTAAACCAACTTTGTATACCTGAGATAAATCCCACTTGGTTGATGTACAAGTCTTTTTATATGCTGCTGGATTCAGTTTGCTAGTGTTTTGCTGAAGATTTCGCATCCATATTCATAAGAGTTATTTGTAGTGGTTTTTTTCTTTTTTTTTGTGATATTTTTGTCTGGCTTTGGTATCGGTAATACTGACCTCATAAAATGAGTTAGAAAATGTTTTCTCCTCCTCTGCTTTTTTAAGAGTTTAAGAAAAAGTAGTATTAATTCTTCTATAAATGTTTTATGCAACTAACTAGTGAAGCCATCTGGGCCTGGACTTCATTAGTTTTTTGATTACTAATTGAATCTCTGTACTTGTTATAGGTCTGTTCAGATTGTCCAGTTGTCTGTTTCTTATTGTTCCAGTGGCTGCAACAATGGGCTGAAACAGAGCAACTATTGTGAGGATGGTACAGGACCAGGCAGTGTTTTGTTCTGTTATATGTAGGGTCACTATGAGTTGGAACTGACTCAACAGCACCTAACAACAACAGTATTTCTTTTTGAGTCAGTTTTAGTAATTTGCATCTTTCTATAAATTTGTCCATTTCATTTAAGTTATTTAATTTATCAGCATACAATTGTTTATACTATAGTTGTTCTTTATAATCCTTTTTATTTCTTTAAGGTTGGTAGTAATGTCTCACTTTCATTCCTGATTCTGATTATCTGAGTCTTTTCTCTTTTTATCTTGGTCAGTCCAGCTAAGGTGTTGTCATGGATTGAATAGTGTCCCCTCAAAATATATGTCAACTTGGCTAGGCCATGATTCCTGGTATTGTGTGGTTGTCCTCTATTTTGTGATCTGATGTAATTTCCCTATGTGCTACAAATCCTTATCTCTGCCTGTAGTTAATGAGGCAAGATTAGGTTATGTTAAAGAGGATTAGGGTGGTATGCAACACCATTACTCAGGTCACAGCCTGATCCAATGTGAGGGGAGTTTCCCTGGGGTGTGGCCTGCATCACCTTTTATCTCACGAGATAAAAGGAGAGAGAAGTGAGCAGAGAGATCGGGACTTCATACCACCAAGAAAGAAGTGCTGGAAGTGGAATGTGTCCTTTGGACCCAGGGTGCCTGCGCTGAGGTGCTCCTAGACCAGGGGAAGATTGATGGCAAGGACCTTCCCCCAGAACAGAGAAAGAAAGCCTTCCCTGGGAGCTGGTGCCCTGAATTTGAACTTCTAACTTCCTGAACTGTGAGAGAATAAATTTCTTTGTTAAAGCCATCCACTTGTGATATTTCTGTTATAGCAGCACTAGATAACTAAGACAGGCATTATGGTTTATTTGTGTTCCCCAGAAAGATATGCTGAAGCCCTGACTGCCCATGGTACTGTGAATGTGACTTTATTTGAAAATAGGATCTTTGCAGCTATAACTAGTTAATATGAAGTCATACTGGAGTAGAGTGGGCCCTAATCCCCTTATAAATGGTGTCCTTATAAGAAAATAGACACAGAAGGAAGATGTACATGAGAAGATGGAGGCAGAATCCACAAACCAAGGAATCCCTCAGACCACCAGAAGCTAGAGCAAAAGAAGGATGTTCCTGCAGAGCTTTCAAAGAGAGACTAGCCCCGTCAACTCCTTAATTTCAGACTTCTAGTCTCCAGAACTGTGAGAAAATACATTTCTGTTTTTTAAGCCATCTAGTTTGTGGTACTTTGTTATAATAAGCCTAGGAAACAAATACATAAGCATTTGTGAATTTTGTTGATCCTTCCAAAGAACCAGCTTTAAGATCCATTGATATTCTCCACTTATTTTTATTCTCTATTTCAGTCATTTCCAATCTAATCTTTATTATTTTCCTCCTTGCTTCCTCTAGGTTTAGTTTGCTCTTTATGGTGGAAATTTAGGTTATTGATTTGTCTTTGACTTCAGCATTTTTACTATGATGTGTTTGTGGATCTCTTTGAGTTTATCATACTAGGAGTTTGTAAATTTGCAAGGTTTTCAGCTATGATTTCTTTGAATATTTTTTCTGCTCCTTTCTCTCTCTGTTCTCCCATTACATGTACATTGGTGTACTTAATGGTGTCCCACATTTTTATGAGGTTCTCTTCATTTTTCTTCATTCTTTTTTTTCTATGTTCTTCAGATTACATAATCTCTAACAATCTCTCTTCAAGTTCAGTAATTTCTCCCATCAGTTTAAATATACTTCTGAGGCCCCTCTCCCCCAGTGAATTTTTTTTTACTTCAGTTATTGCACTTTTCAATTTCAGAGTTTACATTTGGTTTTTTCTTACAATTTCTGTCCCTTTATTGATAAAACTTTCTATTTGATGCAACATTGTCATCATACCTTCTTTTACTTTAATTATGATTTTTCCTTTCGTTCTTTGAACATACAGTGATTATTTGAAGACTTTGTTAAATCTGACATCTGATTGCAATCACAGGTAGTTTCTATTACTTGCTTTTCTCCTTGTGTGGGGGTAATAATTTCCTGTTTCTTTGTACAGCTCATAATTTTTGTTGGAAATTGGATATTTTAAATACATACTGTAGCAATTCTTGGTACTGATCTCTCCCCACTTTCCAGGGCTTGTTATTGTTATTTGCTTGTTTCTTGTGTAGTAGTGACTGGCTGGATTATTATAATAAAGTCTAATTCCCCACCTCACACCGCACTCCTGCCCCCAGAGTTAAGCCTCTGATGTTGTTACTAAGAGTGCAGTCTTGAGTATGCCTACAGTCATCCTGAATGACAGTGGTTTTGGCAAGGCTCTCTTGGACTGTCTCTCCCTGACCACACCCAGCTGTTAAATTCCACTAATTGTAGGCTGTATTTTCAGCAATACTCTGGG